TACATTTTTTCGCAGAGAAAAAAAAGTAATATTGACGATCATTTTCCAGCGCAAGGTATTCTAGATATATAAAGTATACTCCGCCTAAACAGAGAACAAAACAGCACGCTAAAATTTGCAGTCACCCGCAAATGTGTTCGAATTTATCATCATAGCGTCGTATAAGAAAGGTAAAAGAAAAAAAAAAAAGTACAATACTGGCACAAATGTGAGTCGATTGGCGATCACTCTTTTTACTCATACAAGTATGAACGGGTTACTGATGCACGGGCGTGAATTACGATTTTATCGCTTTGACGGCAGCGCACACGTGCGCCAAAACAAGATCTCGCGGCGTGTAGTAATTTTTTTTTTTTTTTTTGACTTGTTTAGAACGCTTGGGAATAGATGAGCTGTGGCCATGTTTGCGTCGCGCTTCGGTTGTTCTATGCAGCTTGACTGAACGTTGCGGTGAGAAGAGGGTTTGGAGAGAATGCGAATTGTGAGGGACCCTGTCGAAAGCCTTGGCGAAATCAAGGAAGACAGCATGAAAGCCGGAGAAATATGTTTGATAAGTGGATTGCAGGCACAGTGCCAAAGACGCTTGTATTGACGAGGAACGCTTTCAGTGTGATCACGCGCCATCCCACTCTTGGCGCGGTTGGTTCAGAATGATCTTCTCGAAGCTTCGAAAGGACCGAAATGGCCATTGCCATGGCAACAGACACTGTTCAGCCAATCGCAGTGATGTGATCGGTCTTTGGAGCAGCAAAAAGTACTTGTGGAGCATGAGCACACTTTTCATTATCATTCCTACCAGTACAAATACGATGTTAAGATTTATGTTCGTGTTTACTTTGCCTTCCTGCTTTTGTGCAACCTTTCGATGGCATCAACAGCACGGCAGGTATGATCCCCTAGCTGAACATTTAAATACATGTACAGCTAGGGGATCATATAACTGGACAAATAACTAAACATGAGTCGACATAAAAAAAAAAAAAAAAACACTGTAGTTTACACTTTGATTTACGCAGGGTCAATGGTCCTGGGAAAATGCCAGCATAATTATCTCTCAAATCTCGGACCAGTATCAAAAGGGGTCTTACCGCTTATCTCGTCAAGGTTCATTCAGGACAACAGGTCATTGTACTTTCGGGTCCCGACAAAAGCCACTGTTTTGGTTTCCAGTTTGGGCTGTACGATTTGTGCTTTAGGGGAAGGAGAGGTTGTGTTTTTGTAACGGTGAACCATAGAATGGGGACGAGGGGCAGTTACATCCTTTACCACTCCACCTCGCGCGGCCGCGGGGTGGGTTGATGGAATAGGATGGGATGAATGAAAACGAGCTTCCCAGCGACTACCTCCAGGAGTTTGATTTTAAGGTATCGACGTTTATCGAAGCAACACTTGCTTGCAACTTGTGCCGTCGAAAAAATTAGTATTGCCAGAGCGGCAATGCTGCCAACGCCAAATCCAGCAAAGAAATATTAATTGATACAAGCGCACTTTTTTTTTTTTTTTTTTGTCTGGCATAAGTTTACATCCGGATAGTTTATCTTTAATCGAACACTGTGAAATTAAACTCCGGACTTCGAAGAATTGGGAATCAAACACAAATGAACTCCGAAAACGCGGAAACCTAGTCACAAGTTCACATATTTTTCTCGATTCTGTGCCCTTTGAACTAAGTACTGTTTTGCCTTACTTTTTGCTTTTGAGCTCTTCCTCGTGTTAATCACCTATGCGATAATCCCACTACAATGGCACAAGCGCATGCTCTTTAGGACTCACCCCGGCTGCACAAACTCTTGCTCAATAAAAGCAACTTCAAAAGATAGAGCTACGAGCTTGGCTTTCTAGAAGTCGGAACATAGAAGTAAAACACAATGGAGTAATAATGCTGCTACAAAAATTACAAGGCAAGCAGAAACCGTCGCATGAAGCTCTTTTTTCCAAGAAATGTTGAACTTGATTGAATCCCGCGAAAATTGAGCGAAACGACGAGTGTGCTTGCTTTTTTCTTTTTAACCGAAAAATGCAAGTTAGTGGTGCGGTGTTACATTTTGCCATCACATCAGGGATGGGCCTAAAGTAGTTCCATTACGAAATCAAAGCTAACGATGAAGTTCAAGAATAGTAACGGCCACGAGATCCCTTCTCAATCGTTTTTGTCCTAAAACGTAATCACCCCCAACGCTCTCTCTGCGTTTGCTCTCGACCATTGGTGGGTGGGCTATCTGGCCCCCCGCACCCGAACGAGTTCTCGAAATACTCAAATAAAAACAATATCGGCAGAATATCGCATTCAATTATACAATTCTTCGTTTCCGCTACGAGCTAATGGAACAATAGGGAGTTTTCGTAGACAGAGTTTCCCCCTCCGCAACGAATCCACTACTGCGCATGCGCGCGCGCCGATGGCCTTGACTGTAGAGTTTCGGGTATCGTAGCGGGTTGCGGTGGGCTTAGCGGAGGGGGAAACGCGGTCTACGAAAACTCCCTAATCAAGCAGTTTCAGGAGCGCGAGTCATTGTGGTGTACTGCAGAGCGCTTGTCACCACCGCGCGGTGACAAGCGCTCTCATCGATGGTAGCCATCGAGCCAGAACAGAGTTCAACAGACGAGCATGACAAATATTGCGAAACTTCCGAGTAGTGTAGATGTTGAGAGAGATCATTCCTTTTGTTGGAACGGACGCAGCTGTTTCCATAGGGCTAGCACACATCCTAGGGACGTTTTTAGAAGCAGCAAGTTTACAAGCAACAAGCACCTCAAACAACCCATATATATATATATATATAAGAATAAATTTTCACAAAGACGATTTCAATTCACTATATTACACTGCTCATGCTACCGTTTGTTGCGACGGCTATAACTCCTGAGTGCAGGTAAAAGGGGGAGAAGGGATTTGGCGTTCTCCAGATTTACCTACCAATCATACAACCGTACAAATTGCTCCGGATTCGGGTTTTACGGGCAATACGGGAGACATGGCAGGTATGCATGACTCTGCTGACTGCTCACCTGATGTACTCAACAATTAAAGAACACTGTCCTCGTCAATATTTCACCCCCCCCCCCCCCCCCCAACACACAATATATCAACGCCATTTCAAAGCTGCCAAATTCTCCATAGCACCATCTATTTTCTTCTATCTACGTTCAAGGGATGTATCTCCAAGTCAAAATCATTGGTAGAGGCAATTCTTTTGTCAAGATTGTAGCTAAAACAGATCTCACTTTACCATAGCAACCTTTTCCATACCCTACAAAACCGAAGAATGTTTAGAGCAACAGCACCCTATTTTACGATTGCAAAGTGTGTATTCGGTCAAAATAAGGGTACTGAAAGGATGTTGTCATAGGTACAAGATATAACGTAGTCTGTTGCGTGTTCATACAGCAGGAAGTTGGTCAGACTCAATTGGCGACTTGTCGCCCAGCTGTAGACGAGAAATTTAGCCAGTGCAGTACAACCACCAGTCTGGGGTCTTTAACGAGTACCACACAGTAGTGGCATACGACCGCACACAGGTACGATGGTCATCCAGACTGAAACGGGCAGGAGTGGGGATTGAACCCAGAATCCCGGAGTTCTGCAGCTCGAACTTCCGCTACGCAAAATTCTGATGTCTACTCTGCAAGTAGCCTATAGTGCACTAAACAATGCTCAATAAGCCCAGATCACAAACAATGACAGATATGAAAGTTCCCAATAGTGAGTCATGATCAATACAAAGATAGGATCAAGTCACAGGTTATTCTAAACAATAGCCGGAAGTTCCGAAAATTCCCACAAGCTTACCGGACCAATACGGCAAAGGGACGCCTCAACTATTAGTTTCCGTATTAATGAAGCAACAGAACCTTTGGGCACAATGTAGGTAAAAATTTCTCGCATTTCGGCGAAAAGCAGCAAGCAAAGAACTTTGGCGCAGCAAACATCACTGCCTTGTGAGCCATGGAGGGGATGAAAGAGTGCCACGCCGCACATTTGAATTTCACCCAAGCTTCTGTTGGAGATACCAGGACATGCAAGCTAGAAGGCACACATAAGGGCCAAGCAGTCATATGCACCATTTCAGTAAACTACACCGGCGAGTCATATGGACTCGCCATGAGGCACGAGCGGTGGTTTCATGCAAGGTGCAACATTCACTGGTTCCTTCCGTCCAGCGTGGCTGACGAAAAGGGTTTGCTCATTGAAGTTGACAAGTTGCTTTACCAACACCTTGGGCACTTTTACTAAAATACCTCCTGCATGAGAGCACATTCATAAGTGAAACCTCCAAAGACTGACACTCGCAGAATGTTTGTACTGTCAGACTTCAGGCGGTGTCAGAGTTGAGATTTCACTGAACATTCAGCATTCTTCGTTTCAGATGAGCCCGATTTAACCCAAAATTTACACCCCAAGAAAGCTTTTTATAAGTCTCGAGTAACAAATTTTTTTTTTTTTTTTTTTCAGAAAAAGTCAGGCCAAAATAAATAAAACAAGCTGGGCTTATTTTTTAAGAGCACATTTGTCAGAAACACAATTTGAAGTTGCATAATCTTGGGGACTAATTGTGTACATTTTTTAGCCCTCATATATTGTGGAACAAAAAAACCCCAAAACAAAAAAGGCAATAGCAGGACTTCCAAACATACTGAAATGGCATTAGATTAGCAGCAGGTTCACACGCTGCTAACCTGCATGCTGTTTCAACAAGGCAATTGGTAAAATCTACGGCCCCGATAAGCCACACATGATAACGTAGCGCCTAAGTGCATTTACGCACTGAAGAGCTACCACTATGCTTCACTCCCTCAATTTAATTAGCTAGCAAGGCTGCAGCCTTTGTCTTGAGCCAAGTTATCCTAAAGTATACAGCTAGCAAAGACTTTCTCGCTTAGACAGGGTATTGACGAGTACCAAATTCCGACCGACCAGGTTAGTGGCTGGCAGGTAGAACACTTTGTACCATACTAGAACATTCTGAAAACCTTTCAATTCGAAATAAAAACAAACAAAAGAAAGCTTACAATCATTTGTCTTGGCCATGTTGTGCTACGTAGTATACAAAAATATTGGCAGCACAAAGTGCTCAAAACACATTAATGAATCCCAATAGGAAGTTTTAGCAAACAGTTTTTCAGGCCCGATACCACTCTGGGTGCGCAACTCAAAACATACTTCAAAGTGACAGCAGCTCCGATTAGCCATATAATTACACAAAAACATGATCCGTTAGATGTCCCCAATAATTTAAGCACTGGCAGCACAGGCATTAGGTACTGGCATTTCCTTCATATCATATGGACATAATGCAATCGGTTATAGATATGATATTCGGTCTGAATGTTATGCATTTTATAGAAGTGCTTGCCCACACCATTACAGCCAGAAGCTTCTCTGTTATGGTGCAATTTCAAGAGTAGAGGATTTCCTTGTACCTTCACAATTCTCGCAAACAGTCATGGAGACTAATTACTCCAGTGCGACAACATAGACAAATGCAGTTCATAACTTGGAACGAGCACTCCACCTGGCCGCAATCAACGCCTCGCTGGACGTTTTGGTAGGAGCTTCTGGCCAATCGCTGGCGTGACACCCAAACTTAACCATGTCAGAGCACAGCAAGTGCCCTATGCATTTCCCACCCCACCGCATAGTTATCACATGAACGCTTGTTCTGGCTGCAAGTCGGAGGAGTGGCTACTGCTTGTGCGTGGAAAGGAAACCGCATGCTCTTTCATAGGTCACAAACGTCAAGAATTCGTTCCGAACAGCATTCAGTAAAATAAAAATTTGGGCTGCTTTAATAGCTCCACTCCGAAAGTAACCTGTGCTTGTTTAAAGGGATCCTGAACCGAAATTTGGATTTTGCAAAATAAGGCCACAGAACTGCGTTGAACAGGACGCTACGAACTCCAGAACATCACTCATACATTGACACCTCAAACGGATGGTCGTATTTTCGGAAAAGGGCACAATCAAGCGAGGACTAGGACATCACAATCCTCCTGGAACAATTGAGAATGAGGGGAAATGGCCTCGCTTCGGTACACCTGCTCGATGGGACGAAGCGAATGGGAGGGGAGATGAGAATCGTGACGTCACATGCTCATCGGCCGTATGCAATTGCATACTTCTTTTCCAAAAAAAAAACAGCTATCCATTAGAGATATTGCTGTACGAGTGATGTTTTTGGGTTTTGCAGCGTCCCGCCCATCGCTCCAGTCTTGTTTTGCAAGCTCCAACTTTCGGTTCAGCATCCCTTTTAAGTAGTTGAACTTAAACTCAAGTATTAGTGCTGGAGTCAACTCCTTAGATGAGCACACTAACAACATCATGCTCACACACAGGGATAGAGGTCATGGCTGAACATTACCAGCACGCTAATAAAATTCACTGCCCAAAGTCAGCTGCAATAAAAGTGTCATTTCGAGCAGACCACGTGACTGCAAAGGAATTGAATATGAACAGACCATATCTGCACTTGCTTCGCTAGAAACACTCTTTAGCACAAGCATATGGGCGAAAGAATGCTTCAAGCATTGTCACGCAGATAAGTAAGGGAGTTGCAAGAGGCCAGACAACTGGCTTTGAAAGTTATACCAAATTATTATGATCGGTGACTTTCTATCTTTCCTAAAGAAAAACAGCACGGTTCTTTCTTGACTCAGAAGTTGGTTTCTGTAAATCTTTATGTAAAATATTCCTAGCAGAGCCCCACAGTCAAACAATTTATTGGTATGCAAACTAAGGGAACAAATATATGCTTAATTGGAATGCTTCAAAACTCACCTAAGTAGTAGAGCAAGTGTAAGGGGATACAGATGATATAGCCACATACCCAAAAAATGCAACAAAGTAGAACTGAAATGACTGCAAAAAAATTATATAACCAAAACAGTACCGAAGCAAATGTTACAAGTGGCGAGCCTTGGACGCCTACATCCCGTGAGTCAAGGTGCAAAGACCATCAAAAGCTAGTCAATGTTGCATGCACAGAACATTCAAGCAGAACCTGTACAGGCAAAAATATCCAGGAAACCTTTGAACTAAGTGTCACCCTGCATACAAGCGACCACTCCCAAAACCACAACTAAAAAGGCGGAGTCTGATATGGAGGGAAGTCCTTTGTCTGTGACCAAATGGACTTCCCTCCTATCATAGACTATCTGTCAGTCACACGCAACAACAGCACACAAAAATAGCACAGACATCCCATGTACCCCTCAGAGCCCGCAGGCTCGTCAATTTAACTATAAAATGTGCCATTCGCAATTTCCTTGAGACTGACCATCCCTCGGCCTCCCACACACCAGATGCCCCCAACATGACATCAAGGCCACAAGCAATAGAGGCAGCTGTCGGAGCAAAATAAAAAAAAGGAAATCTCGCCGTCCACGCTTGGCACCACACCTACAATGACCCCCAAAGGTGTGGCACAGCAAGCAAAGGGAAGGGACCCAGCAGTCTCGTCGCCCCGAGCCGGGCAGCTGCCACAACCGCCGAGACACGTCCAGAGGGCTTCCAACTCCTTTAATGCATTTCTCTCAACCGTAGCAGAGCTCCCATCTACAAGGCTGCAGCAACACTGGCCACTGTGCTGCGATCCTCCAACTGGTCATCATTTGTGCGTTACAAAAACCAACAGAAGGACGCTCATTGTGCATAGTGGTGCTCCGATCCCTGACGGGAAGAGAGCACCCGACAGAGTAAACGGCATAAGGAAGGGTCCTGCAACCTAGAGGTCGTCCAGGTCAAAGTCATCCACTAGGTCATTCACCTCGAGGCTCTGGAAGTCCACGCGGTAGCGCAGGATACCCCCAATGCCGCCGAAGCCCTTGACGAACTGGGAACCTTCCTGCGACTTATCCGTGATGATCTCTAGCGTGGCACCTGCAAAGAGCCGAGGGTGAGTCAGCAGCACGGGCAGCCCCACAGCAACCACTCACCAAAGTTCTTGTAGTTGTTGGCGAGCCACTCAAGCAGGGCCATGGACTCCACGAGCTCCAGCTCGACACCCGTGTCCCGGTCAACAAAGTGGCTCTTGTCCTTCTCCTGTTCGGGCGTCAGGTGCAGGATACGCTCCTCATCGCTCGTGTGGTTCTTGAGCAGGTAGCGCACAATGTCCAGGTTCTCCCAGGCAATGAGGATCTCGACCGAACCCATTTCTAGGGCCTTGAGGGTGTCCTCCACGCCAAAGCAGTACTTGCCCGTGTCCTGCGAGATTTCGTCGAAGTAGCGGCCAATCAGCTTCTTCTCCTGGATGAACTTGACGTTGGAAAGCACTTCCGCCGACAGCTCAATGGCCTGGTTGAAGCCGTTCTCGCCGCCGTACGACACATCCACCAGTTTGAGCACCTTCACCTGCAACCGGGGGTCAAACATGTCCGACTGGCTCAGCTCAGTCTTGAAGTCGGCCGAACCCGCCAGAATGAGGCCCGCAATGTTGGGCCGGTCGTTGCTGATGTACAGCGTTGTGGCCACTTCGGCCACCTTGCGCACGTAGTTGTGCCGCTTCTCCATGCGCAGGCGGGCGAAACGCAGTGCCGACTGCCCGCCGCGCCCGTGCTTCTTGGGCAGGTCCACCGTGAACTTGTGGAGCACCTCGCGTGTGTTGCCCTGCAGCGTGCCGAACAGCGCCCCGTTGCCGTCCATCACTATGAAGCCGAACTTGTTGTCATCCGCCAGCAGCGCCGAAAGGGCCTCCGTGTGGAACTTGTTGTCGCAGAGGTACAGCGACGTGTTGATGGGCTTGAACGGCTCGAAGTCGATATTCACCTTCTTCTCCTTGCCCTCCTCCGTCACGATCGTGCCGCAGTAGATCACCAGGCCGTTCGGCGGCACTGCAATGAATGGACGTTAGCGGAGGACTCGATCCCGGGCCCCGGCTCCGCACTCACCTTTCGTGTACAACTTTAGCCGGTGCTGTACCGACGTGATGGCCCCCAGCACTGACAGCCGGTTCACCCGGCTTTTGATGTTGGACGCCGTTCCGAACTCGTCGGCCAGCATTTTCGATACCCGAGATATTTGGTCCTTCGGAGGGATGATCAGTGAGATCATGCTCGTGCCATTTCTGCAAATTCAAACGTGGGCCACGGATTAACGGACTCATAAACAGAGAATGTATCGTGGCGTAGGCCTAGCCACTAACCCTAACATATGCCAGTGAATCACTCACCCGCGAGCAGCCTCCAAGCTCTTGATGAGCTTCTTGATCTTCCAAATTTCCACATTCCTATCCGCGTTCGATTCCTCCAGGTTATACCCAGTGGAAGCCATACTGGCTTTAAATTATAAAAAAAAATAAATAGTCCAACGTGGCTGATTCACAATGAAAGAATAGGCCTAATGTCGGCCCTGAGCGGAACGCGCCGCAACTGTCAGATTAAAATACCACTTTCACAGCGCTGATAGCTCTATAAAAACCTGATCTTCGGCGATCCGGGCACAGTGTGGACGAGTACACTTGCTGAACAGCTAACATTGACCGATGTCACACGGGTAACGCCGGACTACCAGCCCTCCCTACGAAACGTCCCTGCTATCGTGCTCCATGTGGAACTCTCACTGCGCGCACGAGCAGACGTCAAAATGGATTGGATCGGATTGGGTAATTTAGATTCGGCTCGGATTTGTATCTCTTAGAAAGAATTAGGTGCATTAGTTAATTTAAAGTTAACCTTACTATAAAAAATAGCTTCCTATTATTTTTCACAGCTCTTAAGCATTCATAATAACCTGGGCAAGGACGCTGCGCTCAAGACCGCGAGCCACATTGCAAGCCATATCAAACAAGGAAGTCAAAGTCAAGCCCCACAGCCCACTGCACACAGCTGTTGGGTAGCTAATGTTTTGAAATGTCGCCGGAGGGTGGATCGGTGCTCGTTCTGTTCTTTGGCTTGCCCGGCAGCGGGAAAACGACGTTGGTGAATCGTATCTTCGAAGCCTGTACGAAGCGGTTTGATAGCCGATCATACCCCTGCATCATTAGTTATGATAGCCTTGTCAGCACCAGCAGACAGGCCGAAATGGTAAACGACGTTCACTTCGAGGAGTAAAGCTATACGCACCACGTCGTGCATCTCGACCGGAAATGGCTATACTCACGACACGTTGAGCTCGTGCCATTTGGGTCACCCCTTTTGGACGGCGCGTGTATCACAGGGGAGCGCATTAACCCACACACAACCTCGCCTGCGTTCACGCTGCTTCGCGGCGACAGTCTGCGGCTGCTCATTACAAATCTATTAATCCACTTGGCCCTCCGTACACACCGCTTCGCGGCGTCCAGCCGGCAATCCAAGCCCGCTGTCCCTCATTGCACGTCCTTCAACAACATTCTTCTTCAACAACAACAGCCTACAGTCAGAAAAAATGTTCTTATTCGCGCCCTCACGAATCCCGTTGCCCGGCCGCAATCAGCCCCTACCAGGCCAGAAAGCGTGGGAGCCCCAGTTAGCCCCGCTCCTGTCCCCTCGAGTTGTTTTGCCTCCAGTCTATTTTTGATGTGCTGCCATTCCCTTCCTTCGTGGTATTGCTCTCCCGCAGCAATCGAGACTAACCACCTCAGCCGCTTCGGAGACTCGTTGTAACCATTCGTTTTACGCGAGTTTCGCGTCGTGCGTATAGCCATTTCCGGTCAAGGTGCACACGTGGTGCGTATAGCTTTACTCAAATATCAATGTCAATATCAATGTTCAAGCACCATGAGATAGAAAACGTAGCACGTTCATCAAACCTGAAAGTGCAGAGTCTTCCATAAGCGGTAACCATGATACTAAATAAATTACAATGTCACTTTCCAAGAGAGAGAAAAAAAAAGCACTAGATTAAGAAACAAAAAGGAGGACGACACACAGGTGTGTCGTTCCCCTTTTTGTTTCTCGGTTTTGGGTTTTAAGACGTTGAAAGCTCTCGTGCATGTTTTTTCTTTCTAAGATAGTTCAAACTTTGTGACAAAAATTCTGCCAAAGAACAGCCCTAAAAGAATTATATTACTTTTTAAAGTAACGCCAGATTACGGTAAACAAAACAAACCATAAAAGACGTGCCATTTTGCTAATACCAGAAAATTATCCAAGAAGAAAAGCTCGCTCTGTGTTACACTTTGTGCTCAATGCCATGGTAGTTTTTTTTGTTTTTTTTTTAACATTTTTCTTAGTAAGGGGTCCTCATTGCTTCATGACTTTGCTGCTGTATGACATTGCCTGATTTGAAGTTGTAAGTACATTCTACGGAGTTTGCTTCATTGCAAAATTGCCTTCAGTGCATGCCATTGTTACGTGGCATTTGTACAGGCGCATAATCCGGGGATGGCCAAAGAATGCCGGCAGCAGTTACTCCTCGCAGCACAAGCCTGGCTGGCATGGGTCCGTGGGACCGACATGGCCGTGCCGACTTCCTCGGAACTTGCCTGTACTATGCTGAAGCAACTGCAGTCCTGTTCCAGGCCCTTGCGTCCCGACGAGCGAGCATTGGTCCTGGTTGACGACAACCTTTACTACCGCAGCATGCGAAAGGAGTGGTTCAAGCTAGCTCGGAACGGTAAATTCCAAAGGAAGCAGAATGGCATGTTACCTTGCATAGTTATCATGCTGGTATTGCCATAATTACTGCTGATTTCATAACAATTGCCATTTAAAGATGCCAGTGGAGTTCATCATTCAGTTGCTGCAAATAATAATAATTGGGGTTGTGTGGATATTTACACAGCATGTAGTTGGTCAGCCATTTTTAAAGTTGCGACGAGTTACTTGCTGTAGATGAGCAATTTAGCCAGTGTAGTACAACCGCTAGCCTGGGGTCTTTAATGTGCACCACACAGTAGTGATACACGACCGCACTCCGGTACGATGCTCATCCAGATTGAAACGGGCAGGGGTGGGGATTGAGCCCAGGTTCCCTGGGTTCTGCAGCGCAAGCTTTCGCTCCACGTGCTCCGAGCTGGTGTGCGATAAACCCCTCGGCCACCGATCCCTCCATCAATTGCTGCAGAATACAGTCATAGATAGGAATGAAACAACAGAGTGTGTCTTTCAGTTTTCTTGCTTTTCGACGCAAGCGGCATGGACTTTCATTGTAACACAGCCAAAGCGCCATCAAACGTGGTTTGGTTGGGCTGCGAAATGGGGCAAACTAAACGGATGTTCTGTCACATTTTCTTACTCTCTACAGAACTGGACCAGACTTCTCATGCCATCAATTTCAATAGGCACCAAGGAAACTCGTGCACATGAATTAAGAGCCAAAAGAATACGGTAATGCAGCGATTACTTACAAAAACAGCTTGGGGGGGGGGGGGAGGGAATCATTGAAGTTCTGGAGAAGTCCAATGTGACTTGTTATTGACACACTGCTCGGCCATGTCACCGCTCTGGAGGAACCGACATGGGCTCTGCTTTCTCGCAGCTTCTCTGGGCTTCTGCCAGGTGCTTGTCGCCTGTCCGTTGGAAGAAGCCATCCGCCGGAACGCCTCCCGTGAGCTGCCTGTGCCCGAACCATCTATCCGAGTCATGGGCAGCAGGTTTGAGCTGCCTCGAGAGGAGCCCTGGGAAGAGCTGACCAGGACTGTGACGGCAGGCGAGCCTGAAAGTCTGTGTGTGCCCTTTTCCTTCGGGGAACGTGGATGACGGGAGGAGGACAGTTGTTTTGGCGTCTGCGGCTATGTTTTCCGTCCTGTTCTTTTATGTTTGCTTACCTTTTAAGGACCTCTAGAGACACTCTCTGCATTGGTAAAGGGGGGGCTTTCAGGGTCAAAACGTTCGTCTCCAAAATGATGAAGCCAACCTTCTCCCTCCCACTCTTAACACCCAGCCATAAAGATCCCAACGCTAGGGGCTAGGGTTCTACAGTGCTAGTAAAATAATATTTTCCCCGCATTTTCATTCCAAAGAGCTATATCAGATTCAGGTGAAAAACCCCCTGCAAGGTGTTAGGATTAAGAAAGGCACTATTTAGATTTGAGCAGAATGGGAGGGTTGTGTTTGAAGAATTTCGGCTTTGAGAAATTTATGTAGACAATTCCTGCTAGAGGCAAACTTAAAAAAGGTATTTACTTAGCTCCAAATGTGTGAAACTTGCTAGTTCCATGATGCTCACAGATGCATCAGCCTCGCGCTCCGCATATTTAATTAGTTTTCATAGACTGCAATCTTATTTGCAATTTAATAAACAGCAGTTGCGGATGCTAGTTCGTGGCAGAGGCTCCCAAGATTTTGCTTTTGCTTCTCCACACGAGAACAGAAATCCAGCCAACCTAGACGAGATTGTTTGAAATGCACAGGACTGCAAGCTAGCAGTGGCGTCGGAACAGGGGGTCTGTGGGGACGATCGACCCCTCAGACATTTCTAGTAAACAGTTGGGGGAAAGGAGAGATAAATCCCCCTCCCGTCGCCCTCCATCTTCCAAATGCTTCTGACGCCCCTGCTGGCGAGGCAGTCTCGTTTGGACTATGCTTCATTTCACTTAAAGTGTGACCGCAGCTGACGTTACGATCTGATATGAAACCAGTTGAGCGGTGGCAAAAGTGAATCGTCACAATGTTCATTGTTCTTGTGGGTGTACTATCAGCGGCTAAACCCGGCACAGAAAAAAGCACAGGACCACGGTGACTTCACGTTGCGTCATAGGTGATAGCGAATGCACAAAGTAAACGAGCGTCGGGACGATTCACTTTTGGTGCTGCTCGATTCACTCCATCGGATTGTCACGTCAGCTGTGGTTGGACTTTAAGTGAAACGGAGTATGGTTTGTTTACAGAGAGGCTCAAATATGCGTTAAAGCAATGTTTTTATTGTTTTTTCGCAGTTCCGCAAAAAAAACAAAAAAAAAAACACATAATTTTGTAATTTTTCGCAGAATTGCGGAATCACAGAAAGCTAGGCCTCTATCCATATTTTTGCTCCGCCAGCCTCGCGCTTGTGGCACGAAGCGGCAAAGTTTGAGCACTACCACGCTTCCCATGCGCTCAAAGTCTTTCTAAAATTCACTAATTTAGGGGTTTTCGGCGATGCTGGGCAAAGTTTCCAATTGGAACCATATGTCTATTCTTACTTACTACAGTCTAAGCTCATTACAACAGACCTGTTTACAACGTACATTTGGATATAACATACCGATTTGTGAAGTTCGTTTGGTTTTCCTCTACATACCATTGACTCAACTTCATATCTGCATACAACATACTCCTTTTACAACAGACCGAAATCTTGCTCAAAACCAAGGTCTGTTATAACAAGCTTAGATTGTAATACATTATATATGAAACAAAAAATAATAATTTAGGACTTTAATTATTATCTAAAATGCTATGTGCCTCACTAAATTGGCCTATCAGCAGTGACTATAATACAGCACTAATCATTTTTCCGTGCAGTGGATAGTTTTCGCAAGAAAATTGTAGTCAGTCTTCAGTGAAACACCCTGCATATTGAAAGGCATAAGTTCTGCACACATTTCTGAGTTGATGCCTGCTTCAAGCAAAGCGGTTCCTCCTACTCGATGAACAGTTGCAGAAGCATAGAAGTATGGCGGCCACCAGTAGCAGCTTCTTACCAGTATTAAATGACCTTCTGAAACAGACTTTGGTCTCTTATTTCAGAGAATGCGTGCTGGCACTTGTGGAACGTGCCTCGCTGAAAGGTCCACTGTGTCCACCAGAGAGCCCAGTCCCCGTTCCGAAGCCCCTACCACCAAGCAGACGGCACTGCTGGGATTTAGAACTTCGGGCCATTGTCTCCCGATTCATCCAGCAAGTGCGAACAAGTGAGCTTACGGCCGAATATCTGGCATAGCCCAGGACTTTGGTTTAGGCCAGATCACGCAGAAGGGCAGGGTTTAAATCCCATTCAAGTGGAATCTAAAGAGCTTCTTGGAAACTGGTTGCCTATTGTTTTGGGATCCAGTTGCAGAAAGGTCATTTTGGCTCTGAACGGGTTAATTATAAAGGCCCATTCACACGGTAGCATTGATGTCCTAGTATACCAGGAACCCAAACTTGACCGTTTGGAAACTTCCTTTCCTTGTCCACGCTGCCTGTCCCATGCATAGTTTCTGTGAGGTAGTGACACTGGCTGTCCTTGGTGGCTCTTCTAAGATAACATTTTTCAATCGCTCTAGAGCTGATGGTTCCCCATCATAAAGCAACCGCGCTGGCGTTTTGCCCATTTCAACATGTATGGTAGTTTAGAGCACTGCACGGGCCTAAATTTTGAGGCCCGGCCCGGCCCAGCCCGAGCCCGCTGTCTCTTAGCCTTGCACGACCTGGACCTGGACTGATAGGATGCCTACCTGATCAGGCCCAGCCCGGGCCCGAACCGGTGAGAGGCCGAGGCGTGCCTCATCTCTTAAATTCAAAGGTGCCCTGGGAAGGTGTTGGTGCATTTGATTCGTTTACTAATTTGCATGAAATACGCCGTCATATCGCAGTCACGTGGTTAACATTGGAAAGCTTACACAAATATGAAAGACTGCGTTTCTTTGGTAATCAGAGGGCATTATTTTTTTATTTTTTTCAAGAGTTTGAAAGGGAAAGACAACCATACTCTCCCTTGTGACCGGATTGCCCTCGTCTTCTTGCCTGCTGGCAGCTGTCCCACTATGCTGGTGGTATCTCCAGGATTCTTCATATCTTCTTGTAGGCTTTCTTAGTCCAAGACAGCTTTATTTATTTCTAATATTTTTTTTCAGTGGAGTGGTTGCGAGTTTGCACTTTGGCTTTTTTGTTTCTTTCAAACCTAAACGATCAACGCGTTAACATTTTCTTCTCAGCGTTTTAGTAAGTGTGCTGCACCATTGCCCGAGCCCCGTTCAGGCCCACAAGCAATCCGTGCTACTCAGCCTGGGCCTGGCCCGTATGCGGAAACAATCCGCGCTACCCAGCCCAGGCCCGGGTTTTCGGGTTGGCCTGGCCCTGTGCAGAGCTCTATGGTAGTGTGCTGTCTGAATACAAACCTTGCTAGCGCACACGTCAGTTCTTTCTTTCCTCTCTTGGCAAGTGCAAGTTTTAGCTCCTGTACTGCTTTGCCTGACCAGTGGTCGCAGGATGATGTGGCGCACTTGGCTTGGCGATAATATCATTATGTAAAATGCCTTGATTACCCAGACATCAGCACTGCGCCATTGTTCGACAGAATTGTTTTTGGTGGGCCAAATGCCACAGAAATGACCCGTAATTCCCAAATGACCGCGGCAGATGTTGTGTTGCGGACCACGCGCACTTCCAGCTGCTTGGTAGAAGCATCCGGAACAACAAGAAAAATATTGCCACGCGCGTCGCCGATCGGGCGCGTGCATGGCCGAATGGTTACCGCACCTGACTGTCGCGCAGAAGGTCTAGGTTCGATTCCAGTCAGTGGAATGTTCTTTTATTTATTCTTTCAACTTGGCGTTCTTGTAAGTTCGAGAACATTCTCATCTGATCAAGTTCCGAGTGTTTTACACGCTGAAAGGTCTACGCCGAATGTTCCAGAAACCCACGCACATACATAAGGGACTCCGCATGGCGAGCGGAGTCAGTCTCGCCCCAGCGTTCGATCCTGCTGTTTCGCCGCCATCGACGCCTGCGACTCTAGCCTTTTACTATTTTGTTTTGGGCATAAGTTCGCCCCATTAAACGTTTAGTTTGCTTCAGTTTTCATCGCCTCATCAATTGTCATTCGTGACATTTTGGTAGAGGTGCTGGGTACCATGTTCTAGGCCAGTGAAACATACCCCTCAGAAGATCTCTCGGGCTCGACCTTTCTCAAATCCCGGAAAGCTTATCCCCGTTGACGAACCTGAAAGCCAGACCAGCTGCCGTACCCAAGGCCTGCCCCCGGAATTCGTCCCTCTACCATCGAAGCCAACCAGGACTGCGGCCACGATGAGCACCACGTCGCAGCAAGACGGAATACCACCGGCTTCCATCGTCTTTGTGCAGGCTCCACCCCGGATTATGGCGACTTTCCATGGTGACCCTTACGAAGATGTGAACGACTCGTTAAGCCAGTATGAGCGCGTTACATGGTTCAAAGGACGGGGAGCTGAACAAAGTCCGCAGAACGTCTACTTCGTTTTGGAAGGCACGGGCCAAACCTGGTACAAGAACCACAAAGCGTCGATTTCGTCATGGGAAGACTTCCAGGCCAAGCTACGATGCACTTCTGCCAGCCAGCAGCGACGACAGTGGGCCGAAGAACTTCTGCAAGCAAGAATTCAAGGGCCGAACAAGAGCATCACAAGCTTCGTCGAAGACGCTCTTCGCCTGATAAACTGCACTGACCCAAACGCCTCCGATGAGAAAAAGCTGCGGATCTTGATGCGGTGAGTGAAGGAAAACATCTTCGGAGGACTTATTTGAACCTCGCCTACCACCATCGAAGGATTCGTCACTAAGGCCACAAACATTGAACATTCCCTTCAAGCACGGGCCTCCCACTACCAGCGACTCCCCGGCATCACTATCCTCTTGCCTTCCAGCTGCGACATCCCGGACATCCGCGAGATCATTCGCGACGTCGTCCGGGAAGAGCTGAGGCAGCTCCTGCCTGCTGACAACCAGCCGGCTTCGCTATGAATTGATGAAGTTGTCTGCGAGGAAGTTCAGTGGGCATTCCATCTGGAGGCTCCTGCCAGCGTGGCAACACCCGAGGAGCCCTCCCTGACCTACGCCGCAGTGGCTAGGAGACCGGCGCCAGCTGCCCGGCAGTACTCCATGCTGCTACGACGTGAGCCTGCGCCGCAGACCTTTCGACGTCGGGAAGGGCAGCCCCAGCTCGTCCGTACTGAACAACCGGTGCCTAAGAAGACGGATGTGTGGCGCATGGCCAATCGACGATTGCTGCGGTGAGGCCGACCACGTCTACCGGAGGTGCCCGTACCGACAAATGGGTCTGCGAGGTTTTGTGCCGAGCGACTTGCGACCTCGCCTTGGGGAGCGACCAAGAGACATCGAGGAGTACCTCCGGCGACCCCTGTGCCCGGTGCCGACTCCACCCTGAGGTTCCCGTTCACCTTCGCCTTGGCGTGCGCTCTCGCCCTTCCGCCGCTCTCGTCGCGACAGCCTGTCCCCCCTATCTCGTCGGGAAAAGTAAGTGCAGCAATGCTTGGAGGTGGCGTTGCCGAAGACGACTGTAGTAAAGAGCCTCCAAGAATGACGGAGCGCTCCCACTCTCCCGATGCTACGTATCGCAATGACGCCCCTGCAACAGTGCCCAACAACCTAAACTTTATTATCGATGGCCACGACGCATCGGCACTCGTGGACACCGGAGCAGACTACTCAGTCTTGAGTGGGAGGCTCTCTCGCCGCGTTTGAAAAGTAACATTGCTGTGGGATGGGTTGCAGATACAAACCGCTGGAGGACACCTCATCACGCCTGTTGGAAGGTGCGCCGCTTGCGTCGAAATTCACGGCGAGACGTGCCCTGTGAAGTTCGGCGTTCTGCAAGACTGTGCGAGGCACGTTATCCTCAGAATAGACTTTCCCTGCGAGTATGGCGCCGTCATCGACCTCGGAGAAAACCGGCTGACGCTAGGAAAACCTGTTTCACCAACGGAGAAACCCAAATTGACGTCATCCGCGGTCCGAGTCCTCGCAAGCCACGTAAACTTACCGCCGCGGTCGAGTGTTTGCATACCTCTCGGGATCACCAAAGCTTTCTGCGGCAAAGTTCTGCTCGAGGAAAGCCTCCAGTTGCTTCTAGGAAGAGGGATAGGCATCGCAGGAGGGATTGGGCGCACTGTGGTCCTCGTGACAAACTTCCGACAAGAAACGCAACACCTCTGCAGCCCGAAAGGGGCACTAACAGCTCCCACTGTACACGTAAAACTGCACCAAGAAGGTGTACCCCGTATATCAAAGATGCCTGGTGCTCACCAGCGCGTTTTATCGAAGACGACGGGGCGCATCCCGGCGTCCCAGTGTGCACTGGTGATGGAGGATACTATAAACGTCCCTTGATGTGTTGGTGTTTGACAAGTAATGTCAAGTGCGCCTATTCACGAGGCCCTTAGAAGCAAATGACAGTGGAGCACTCACCTGTGGCACGTGCCTTGCATGTGCCACAGGTGAGTGCTGTGCCATGGTGTGCAAGACGTGCGATGCTCCTCTCTTTATGTGCTTATGTATCGCAAATGTGACTGAAAGTGTGTCTGTGATGTCGTCGGAAGACGGAAAAGTATTTTTGCAACTATCCCATGTGTTCTAATGGTAAAAAGAATGAGTGGATCCGCCCAAAAGCGCAATCACAAGTCAAGATTTGTTGTTTATCACCAGCAGTTTGTAGGCTTTGGCAATCTGCATAGTTGTGTTTCACACTGCTACAACGCTGTAATACGATCATGCAATGAAAAGCTGGAACATTCACGGTGTTTGGTGTGGCACTGGGAGACAGAAACCCAAATTGATATACATGCAGTGTACCTTGGTTGTTGAGGCTTAAAATATTCATTCCCCATCCTCTTCAGCTGATGACTCCTGGACTGTAGTGATCAATTTAAGGGGGGGCACTGGCTAGAGATTTAACTTCTGGACTACTCAAGTGATCGGAATGAAATTTGCAGGGGATATTTAATGTGAGATGTATCTGTATTGTGGCAAGCTTTCAGCTCTCTAGGACAAGTTTACATACTTGCACAAGATGTGTCACTCTTTGTTAAGAAATCTATGATATGCAAATGAACCTATTGAGCACCATTTTGACTGCTTGAATGCAAAGTGTTGGATGTGGGACTTCGGGCTATCTAGTTTTTATAACTCAAATGTAAATATTTCAGGAAGAGTCATTACCTAAAACTATGAGATGCATATCTGTCCTATGTCAATTTTTGAAAACATAGTATTTTCACAATGAGGACTTCCACTTAAAACAAAATAAAGTAGATAGCCCACTTCCCGAGTTAATTTCAGTTCAGAAACATCTTGATTGTGGCATGAGAATACATTTACCTTCGAACAATAGATTTCTTCAAATGAAATTTGCTGCAAGAAGTGGAACTGAGAAAAATGCATTAGAACATTGAACTCCTTTACTTTGTTACTGCCTCACAATGTGTTGCAAATATTTTATATCAATGTAACTATTTGGTGTATGATTATCAAATTTATCGTAAGGGTGTATAATTAGTTTCTAAAACCACGAAACCTCAAACTTGAAAAGTGAATTGTTTCAAAAAAATTTGAAATCTAGGTCCACGTCTTAAAGTAAATCGCTCCCTTTTCATTCAATTTGAAATATGGAAGATTTCCGACGCCTAATGCGAGTACAAAGCTGTGACGTTTTGCCCTGCTTGTTTAGTTAGGGGGGCACTAAAGAAGATTCTGCAATTGTCTGTTTTTGGTCATAATTGATTCTACGGGCCCTAAGCATCCTAAAAATCCAAAAATTACAATCATGCGATGCCAATTTTTTTTTTATTAAAAATGGGATGAAAGGTCAGGACACAGACCTTTCTGAGCGGATTTTTCTGCTCAAGAAAGGCGGGGCATACCCCAGCAGCAGTGTCAATGCGGTGACGACGGGCGCTCATCGACCAGTCGCAAGCCGCAAGAAAGGCGGCCTGTTGTTTTTGAGACGTCTGTGAAATCTGTCCTTCAAGTTGCTTTTCTTTTTTCTTGGAGCTTTACTGTGGACCTAGAATGTCATCTTAAAGGAAAATGTTAAAGGGGTACGGAAACAAAAATTGAAATATTCAGATTTTGTTCGGAAATGAGTCAAGCATGACGGATAATAACCGTAGATGATAATCGCATGTTTGTATTTTGAACGACTGGCTATATTTTTCGTTCCAAACGGTGCACTCGAGCAAGCGCTCGAAAAGAAGCGAACGGAGGGCGCGATGCGTCATGGGATATCCGGCGCAAACAAAAACAGAAAGAAAAGATTTCCCGCTTTCGTGGAGTAGCAAGGCAGGCGTGGTTATGAGCTTTGCCCTTGGTGGCGTTGTCAGCGTTGTGGTGGTGTCAATAGCGTCAGCGCGTTACAACTGAGCCGTTCGAAGTACCCGTGGGGTGACGAGTGTGTGGCTAGCCCAAGGAGCACGTAGCTTCCACAACACTGTCAGCCTGAATGGGGTGGGGAAAGCAGCTTTTGTTCGAGTTTTGAGCAACGGGCTAATCTTCTAGGGGGAGAATGGTTGTGTCCGGTTGCACGAAACGAGGGTTTGAGAAAGAAGGGAGTCCTTCCTTTCCGTCTTCTTGGACCGTTTGGTACAATGCACGATTTGTGAGTTCAGCTAGGAGGAAAGCTAAGAAAGAAAATGTTGAAATTCCAAAGGGCGGCGCTGCTCCGAAGGAATCTGCTACGCCACGACTACGTAGCAAGTTCCCAAACGTTGCTAGATTACCTCCCAAATAGGCTCCGCATGCATCCACCAGGTGCACATGGAAGGATTGTTTATTTAGCTTTAAAATTAGTTTTCTTGTGTCTTTCAACGGAAGAATGGTGTTTTCGAGGTTAGGGTGCAACATGCAACACATTCAAGCTAGAAAATGAGCGGTGGAGTTTCGTTTCCGCACCACTTTAAGGTGGTTAAATTGCACATTTCGTTCAAACAACTGCAGACACACAAAGTCAAAGCAGCTAAGCAAGCGAGCTGGTTGAGAAAAGACATTGTAATGCTATGTGAAGTGTACCGGCATATTTTTCTTAGCCATCGTGGCCTTGAAAAAAATTTTTTTGGATAAATTTAAATTGTCTATTTCTTAATTTCTCGGTTTAATTTAAAACACAGAATCCTCCTTATAACTGGACAGTAACAACAAGGTACGCATGGGCAGCAAGATTGCATGGCTAGTAAGAAGACAAAGCAAAATAAATGAATATTTATATGAGGCTATTTTTTAAGCAGTTCAAGGTTTTGAATTTACCTTGTTGATGTTATCTTTTTAATTTTTTATTCTTGAGCCAAATTGCCATATCTGCTGTATTCTCCCATGTGTCTAGCTTGGCTTAATGTTGCACCATTAAGACTAGAAAGAACCCATATAAGTATGAATGCTTTGCATCTGTTAATAGAGATTAATGTTTTGGTTTCTTATTTATGCATACCGCAGGTCAAACCAGGAGGGTTGGTGTCCGAGACGTACAGATATCACACTTTATATTCATTTGGCTAAAAGAATTGCAAGTGCTCGAGAATGCACAGAGAAGTTTCGAGACTGAAAATACAGATATGTAAAGCTTAAACGATAAAGGATGTGGGCAAGAGACGGCACGTCTCACGTGCAGTTGTGAAATGCAGTCGCGCCCCACTTGTGCATTCTTCTGACTGTTTCCTGGGTTTTTTTTGCCAGGTGGTTGCTCCCAGGCTCAAGTGGCTGACCGGTGCATCCGGTTACAGAAGGCTCGCCAGGTGGTGCTCGATCGACTTCGCAAGATCCCTTACGAGGAAGAAGATGCAGCAAAGGTGGACTTGCATGTCCTTCTGAACGAAGCGCTCGGGGAGTGACTGTACAGTGCTTGGAGGCTACTCCTCTCTGCTGAAATTAGCTTCAACAAAAGGTGCGTCGTGTAAAAATCAAGTTATGCATCGTGTGTGAAAAAAAAAACCCAAAAAGTTCAGGTGGAGGGCCTAAACTTTTTAACTACGAGCACATTCTTCACCACGTAACAAACTTTGCTTTTTAATTAAAATCTGCAATTATTTAGAAATTACTGGCAAAATGTCAGCACTTACCGTAGAATACCGTGCATCCGCCCATACCACATTAAGCGGCCATTCCCAAATTTGTAAAATCAGAGAAAATATGCACAGTACATTGATATGTAGAATTGATGACCGGACAAGCGTCCATCCCCCATTTTTTCCTGATTATCTCAAAATTTTGAGTGGGCGCTTGCCCAGTATTTTACGGTAGGTTTTTGCCTCAATATATGGACTATTGAGTACCAATTCCTCAGAAGTATCAACTTTTTGTTTGAAAATGGAAAGAAATGTGTTCAAAATAAATAAAATAATTAGCAAAGTTAACTTAGCGCAGCGCTTCCCAAACTGCTACCCTGCAACCCATCAAAATATAAATTATTGCCCAAAAGCCCAATAGCGTTGCCTTCACTGTCTGGGAGGAAAATACCGGGATGTATGTCCAACATCCATTCCACACAGTCAGGATTATTGATGGAAGAGGATAAATGGAAGCTAGTTCTGAGCATGTGCTGCAAACCAGTGTCGTGGAATGGGCAGCCCTATTCCATTCCAGTTCTATTTCGGAGAATTAGAGTTTCCAACAATTCCATTTCTTTCAACTCCTCGAAAGGGAGACACTGGGCCCGTTCTCACTCCTGGAATGGCTGAACTTCACCATTCCATTCCTCGAATTCCTAAAGGTGAAAAAATGGACATTGATGGCTACATGTGTCACTGAAAAAAAAGCAGTATAAAGCTGCTAATGTTGTCAAACGCGGAGACAACTGCAAAAGTATGCAAAATCATCCTCAAAGCACTCGTTCTGCTACGCCGAAGGGTGATCGCGCAAAGCGCTTCGTGGCAACCTCTTGTCACTGCAGACCTTGATTGCACAATCAAGCGTAAAAGGCTCGTGAGTCCCAACAGAGGCAAAAAATTAGAATTAACCTCCCATTTCCTTTGCAAACGGACTGTATACCCTCCACAGATACATGGTTAGCATGTTTTTTGTTTGGTAAGGCCTAAAAAATGTCTGGTTCGTGCATGGCGCAAGAATAAGCTCTCTTTCCCTCTGCTTCGAATGCTTTGTTACAGCACCGCTAGTGCGCTGTTAAAAGCGACGCCGCGTATACCTGTCCCAAATCTCCATGCACCGATGCAAGAACAGAAAACCACTGACAAAGTGCAATAGGTATACGGCGCCTGCACACGGGACTGTACCACCATATTATATGGAACCTGCCTTAAAACATAAACGTTTACGTTTGCTGTACGTTCAATACATTTTTTTTATTTGTGTTCCACGCAAGCACTAGAAGATCAGCTGGGTTGAAAGCATGGAGTCGAACCAGTCATTATTCCGGTTCGGTTTGTGTTCGGGTTACTTTGTAGTTTTTTCCGGTTTGGTTCTGGTTCAGGGACACTTTTGAAATAACGGTTTGGTTAATGATTCCACCAAGCACGAAGCAGTAGAAAGCGGTTCTTGAAAGAAAAGTCCACAGCTCCCAGTTGTTAAGAAAAAAGGTGAGATTAACACGGCGTAACCTTCATTAAAAAAAATTAGGTCATCAGAAGCCGTGCTAAAGAAACGAGGAAAGCAAATCAAATATATGCATAATTTCGTTTTGTGATCTTGAATTTTTAACGTGAATACCGTTCTATCAAAAATTACGGGATTATACTGGCACTTGGAAACAGTTCCAAAGTACAGTACTCACATGTGAACTTGGAATACATCTCAGCGCTTAAAAAAACAAGGACAAAGAGACGAGAAACAGACAGCACAGTGCGCACAGCGCACTGTGCTGTCTGTTTCTCATTTCTGTTCTTGTTTTTTTAAGCGCTAAGATGTATTCCAAGTTCCAAAACCAATTAGCCCAACAATCTACTCTACTCACATGTGAAGACAATCAGACAGTACGCACAGTGACACTGTGACGGTAGCACGCACCATACATGCAAGCGACCCACAAAAACAGATTAGTTGTCAGTTGTTCAGAGAGCAGTTTAGTCTGCCAGAGTATGGCAACGTTGTACCCACTGTACATGCTCATCTAGATTCAAACGGCCACCTGTACGCCACACCCCATGCCTTAACGGTTTGCTGGAACGACTGAGTTGAAGAGGAGAAAGACAGCGAAAGCCGGTTGAAAGACTAAACAAGAAAAGAACATAAAAAAAGATAGCAGGCAACTTGCTGTTTCTAGAAAACACACAGACACACACAATGTTTTTTTTTTGTTGACCTTACATTCAGAAAAAGGCCTTTGTTATTAGAAATGTTTGAACCCTTTAACTTGCGCGAATTTTTAAGTACATCTTTTTTTTCGGTGTAGTTTCCAAGCTTGATGATAACAAGACATATCCTGTTAGAAGGGCGTCTTTCAAGTCTATGAATTCTTTTTACACTTTTAATGTCAACTTTCTAGCCTCTCTCTGAACACTTCGTTAACCACGCTGTATGTCACTTGCTCTTCTGTCTCGTTGTCTGGTTCCTTAATTCCATAGATCAGAGGTTCTCAAATGGGGGTCCGCGGACCCTTTGGGGTCTGCGAAAGCATTCTAGGGGTCTGCGAAGCCCTGCCTCATCAGTCAAGCCCGACAATAAAAGTTGTACTTTTTTCAAATTGAGAAGAAACATTCCAATTTTCGGGTGAGTTTTCTCGTGTATATGTCAATGAGAGAAGTCTACTTCAAACAGCCCTTAGTTATATCCATTTTTCAAATCATTACCATAATTAATCTATACCTTTCCGTTCCCTTCACCACAAACGGGGTCCTCCATCATCTCCGCCGATCCACAGGGGGTCCGCGAAGCAGCAATGGTTGAGAACCACTGCCATAGATAATAAAGTTGTTACGTCTACTTCTATTTTCCAAGTCGTCAACCTTCCTCAATAAATTCTGCACACACAATTCTAGGCTCACAATTTTTTCTCGGGAACTTTCAAACTTTTGACTCATTTCGTTTAAACAAGAAGTAGACACCTTGATCACTGCCAGTCGCTTATCTAAGGAACCAACATGATTCCGCAGTTCAGTTATGTCCCCTTCTATTTTGTTTTGCCCGACCAAATTTGCTGTAATGTGTCAGGTCCTGGTTTTAGCTCAACATCACCACATAGTTGAAGCAGCATCAGAAAACGTCCCAACATTCAGACATCATAACAAGAAGAACATGAGGGCTCGGCAGCACTACAGGGGTGACAGAATTATTCCTTAAACACTTAAACAAACTATTTTTTACTAACCTGCATGTACAACCATAAAGGATTAGGCATCCTGCTTGGAACAATGCTACCGAGCCCACTGAAGCCGCAGTCGAGTTGCTGCCGATTTTTGTAGACGAACGAAGATGTTGTTGCCATCAGCATACTGAAAAGATGATCTAACGACAGATGTCGCACTGCGTGCTTGCGCTGGGTGCCTTGGTCTTCAATTCCAAGATAAGTCGATACGCCAGGAATCTCTGCGACAGTGACTCACTGGAAGCCTTGATGAACGATCCACTTAAAGCTTACAATGTCATGGTGACTTGCTCCCTGTGGCATAATCGATGTTGACTGCCACAACAGAATCTGCGTGTACAACCATAAAGGATTAGGCATCCTGCTTGGAACGGTGCTACCGAGCCCACTGAAGTCACGTGGCTACACGTGACTTCAGTGGGCTCGGTAGCACAAATACGTTGATTAAAAAAAAAAGAAGTTGCATAGATCACGGGAAGTACATGTACACGTCATTCTCAATATGGCGATGTACCGCAGGCCGTACAATGCGATGGCGGCGTACGACAGACCAACATTGCGACGGACGTGGGGCCGCTACTTCGGATCTGTCGTTTGTGGTACCGGCCAATCGACCTTCAAGTGCAGAACATCGAGTGGAAAGGATATAAGTGTGAAACAATTGCACGACAAACGGTGCATGCATTTTGCACGCATGGTGCATGCAACTTGGTCATCCACTTCACACACCAAAGAAGAGGAGGAACAAAAACCGGTCGTGACTTCCGGCCATGAGCTTCTGTGCTTGTGTTTAGGTTTCGAGCATTTCATTTTTTTTTTTAATTTATTAGAAATATACGTGATTCTCTAGCAAAATATTGATTGGGTAGTCTCGTGACACCATATTAAATCGCCTTGCAAAAAAATAAAGAAATAAAAAAAAATTTGGGGTGGGGGGGATGAGATCAGTGTCCCTTTCAAAGGGATACTTCAACGAAATTTGAAACAAGAGTGTCTAGGTCCCCACATGGGAACGTAGCCAAGCCGGAGGAAAAACGGCTCCATTCACGCTTTACGTCACTTGCTGCGTGGATGGTGCCAGTTCTCCTCCCGTCTTCTCTCCGTCCGCGCAGGAATCAACTTCCGGTCTTGCCATCCATTGTTTTGTCATGTGCTTGGCGGCCATTGATCCTTGCGTTCCTACCCTGCCCGGATTGCTGTTCCTGCCTGGTTTTCTGCAAGCGGGTTTGACTTTCTCTAAAGCGTTTTGTTCATACATTTTCTTGCGTGTTACTTGTGTGCATGTAGATCTTGCACATAAGCTCACACTAAAACGCCTCGAACCAAGCCAACCACACACACAACGAAGCCTCACCGCCTCGCCTCGGCAGCGATGCACACATGGGCAAAGGCCCCGGAGGCCGCACCCGCACCAAGCCAACCTACCTCGCACCGCGTGGCTGCACGCCCCCATGCCCACACGTGTGTGTGACTCCTGGACAACGTACAGTAATACCTCATTAACTCATTAACTCGAACACGGCTATCTCGAAATAGTGGCTAAGTCGTAAAATTTCCTTGTCATGGAATGAGCTCCCATAGGCACGATGCAGTTTGTCCTTGCTTATCTCGAAAGGTCTTCAGCACGGACTTCGGATATCTCGAAGTCTCGTCAGCGGAAATTGAAAAAAATACACAATAAAAACTGCAACAAAAAAAAGAATGAGCGCAAAAAAAAAGCAAAAACAAAAATGCACATGCGCAAAAAAAAAAAAAAGAAAAAAAAAATATCCGGGTGCGTTGCACAGAGGAGATACGTGCGACTCAAAAACGTTTGTTACTTAGCCGAGATGCCACGTTTTCGGCGCCCCCTTTCCCTCGAGCGTTTTGTTCCGCTTTGTCTTTTGTTTTCTCTTCTTTGCTTCTGGGTTCTTCCGTTTCCCTTCCAGGTCCGGTCGTTGTCTTGTCAGTCTCGTGTTTCGCAGAAACGTCTCGTTCAAGTGTTGCTGCTTTGTTGCGTGTCCGTAATATTTTTTTTCCGGGTGTCTTGATTGTCTTGCGGCGGCGCCATACGAGCAAGGGTCAAGTGTTCAATTCAATCAGTGGTTGTGAATTCTCTGACGTTGTTGGCACGTGACTCGATTGACATTGAAGATGGCACAGCCCAAACAGTGCAAATCAT